CCCGATCTTATTTGCATATTATTTTTACAATTTCTTAATCTGATTTTATTAAAGAAGTAATTTAAGCCACAATTAATTATTCATTTAACCTTAATTGTGATGCTACATTTGCAATTAGAGTGAAGTTATCTTCATCAAAGAGTTGGTGTCACTCTTGTGCATGACAGTAGTGGCAGTTGTACAGTTCGTGAGACTCATTTTTGAGTTTGCAATTAGCGTGAAGTTATCTTCATTAAGGAGTTGGTCTCACTGTTGTGCATGGCAGCAGTAATAGTTGTGCGGTTCGTGAGACTCATTTTTGGGTCTTATTTTGGTAATTCGAACCGTTTAAATTTTAAAGAACTTCGAGAATAATATACCTATGAAAAATTAAGTTGATTAGATATCAATAACTTCTTCATCAAATCACACCTGTATATAAAAAATGAATATGTATATATTAAACTAAATACAAATGTGATTTGATGAATGGGCTATTGATATCTATCAGCTTGATTTTTTAGAGGCATATTCTTCTCGATGTTTGGATCAACAAAATAAGACAATAAATGAATCTCACGGGCCGTACAACTATCACCGCTTCATGCACAGTAGTGACACTAGATCCATCTGCCAATTTTCTCTACCATTTCTCATTTTACTTAAGTATTCAACTTTTATATTAAAATTAAATATATTTTTTATTTTTTTGGTCTACCTTATTCATATTTTATTATTAATTTGTATTGAGTTTTCTACTTAAAATGAATTTGTTTATTAGGAAAAATTTATATTTAATTTAAACTTTATACACCTATATATAATTATATATAAAATATATAAATAGTTTGAAAAGATATTAAAAAAAAAATTAATACTCAACATAATTAATTTATCTTTTTTTTTTTCTTAATCCAACCACATCATATTTATATTTAATTTTTTAAAATAAATTTTGTATAACTTCATAAAAATTAAAGAATTAGAATTACATTTAATTTTATGTTACGATTTTTTTTTTCCAAATTAGCTATTATTATTAGGATTAATTACAAAAAAAAAAAAACCTCAAGGTTTCATGCATTTTTCACTTTAAATTCCAGTGTTTCAATTTTGACAAATTAAACCTAGTGTTCCATCTATGTTTCAATGTGTCTCCTCCATCCATTTCCGTTTGTGTAAGGTAACGGAGAATCGTTTTGGAGTTTAAAGTGAAAAAACGTGAAATCTTGGATTTTTTTTTTACCCTAATATTTAATTTTTTGTTTGTACATATATATATATATATATATAACTGATATATCTTATTGCATATGTACATATATGCTTGTATTTTTGTTGATATTTTTTAATTCAAAATTTGACTCTTTTGATGATAAAATTTTAATTTCGTCCCTAATTTTGATGATTATGTAAGAAGGGTTACCTGAAGTGTAATTAATCTCTTTTTTTTAAAGTCTGCATTAGAGTTTTGATGCAGTTTTTATTTACCGCTTATGAGGTAAAAATAACTTAAATAAGTTCTAAAAAAAATCTTTTAGTCTTGTTTGGTGCTACTTATCTGACTTGTTTATAATTTTTTTTATTTTAGAAGTCTGTAGTAAACTATTTGGTACAACTTTTACTTTATTAGGTAAAAATAACTTAAATAAATTGAAGAAAAATAAATTTCTGGAATTTGGGCGAAGAGTATTTTTGCCTTCTACTTCTAGATTATCAGCTTATAAATTATACTAAATTACACCAAGCACACCATTTAAAAGCAAAAATTTATACTTTTGACTTGTGTTTTTTTATTATCAATTTTTAATTTATAATAAATTACACCATACAACTCACTTTCTTTTAATAGAAAGTAGCAGAGTTGATAAGTGAACCACTTAAAAGAAGCCGCCTTTTGCTCACTCTTAAATTTATGACCCCTGTGCTATTATTGAATTCAAGTCATTTTTAAATAATTTTTTTTTTAAAAAAAAATATGAGTTATTTTAAACTTATTTTTTAAATTAAGATTTTTTTTTTTTTTTTTGGAACTTTGTTCTCAAAACACCAATCGAAACACGTGCTGTCAAAAAAATGACTTTAAATTTTTTTTGCAGGCCTAGTGACTAGAGTCTTGTTTTTGAGAGGGATTTAATAATTGTTGTTTTTATAATTTTTTTTTGTTTTTAGTGATTTTAAATTTTTTAAAAAGAATAATTAATTACAAAAAAAATTCTAAAATTTAATGGATTTTGTCACTTTAAACTCCAATGTTTTTCCACTTTCAACCTAAAAACAATTCTCTGTTACCTTATACAAACAGAGATGGAGCAGGAGAGAGAGCATATTAAAACACGGATGGAACTCAAAGATTTAATTTGTTGAAATTGAAACACTATGATTTAAAGTGAAAATCGCGTAAAATCTTGAAATTATTTTTATAATTAACCCTTATTATTAATGACAAAAAGAGTGTTTATTTTATCATGTTATAATTTAATATCATATAAAATAATTATATATTTATTTCAATTATACTTTTATAACACGATATCGTTCAAATTATTAAATTATACATAACTAATTGAAACAAAATTATTATATATATGCATATATGTTTATTTAAATAATACTTACATATGATTAAGATTATCAAAACAAAAAATTAGAATTGTTGTGTAATTTAAATGACTTTTTTTTTCTTCAATTTAATCATTATCTTCAATATTAAAAAAATATTTATTTTATTATATTGTAATTTAGCATAGAAGCATAATATATATATATATATATATTTAACATATTTCATAATATATTTTTTAAATAATTATATATATATATATATACCCACATATATAAGCATAAATAATTCAACCAAAATTATATATATTTATTTATGTTATATTTTATACATGATAAAATTAATATTATTCAGTGTGTTTGGTTGAGTTTTCTGGATTAAATTTTTTGAAAACTGAGTTTTTTGATTTTCGTATTCTTTTGTTTTTAGTGAATATTTTTTAAATTTTAAACATTTTTTTTTTACTTTTTAAGATGTACCTTAGTTAGATATGTCTAAAAAGTAAAAAATTTGTGAAAAAATATTTTAAAAAATTAATAAATTCATAAAATATAAAAAATGTACTGAATTCTTATATATGTATTTTTTGTATATTTGATATTTATTGAATTTTTAAAAGATTTTTTTTACAATTTTTTTACTTTTTAGGTATATTTATGTTAGCTGTGTCTAAAAAGTAAAAAAAATATTTAAAATATTAAAAAAAATCAGTAAAAACAAAAAAATACGAAAAATAAGAAAATAGAATTTTCTGAAAAGTATTTTCTGAAAAATAAAAACAAGCTTTCATAATACATATATCGTAATATATTTTTAAAAATAGTATATATATAATTTAACTTAATTTTATAAAATATTATTTTTTTAAAAAATTAATCCGCATTGGTCAACGTCTAATTATTTATTCCTTCCGTCTCATTTTGTTAGTCTACTTTTTCATTTTTATTCGTCTTAAAATATTTATTTTCCTTTTTATTTTAGGATACTAAATTTTATTAAATTTTTAAAATTGCACATTATAAATTATTATAAACACATTTTAAAATTCAAGTAGAAGGACAATAGTAAAATAATTACGGTTGGTTTGGGAAGTGGGTTAATTTTTTTGACTATTTTAACCTGGGTTAAAAAGCTTGGTTTGGGAAGGACTTTTTGACTTTTTGGCTTTTATGACTTTTTTTGTGAGAGAAGAGTGTAATGGTTATAGGTTAGATGTGATATTTTGTTTGTTGTGGTTAAAATAGCCTATTTTATTTTTTGTGACTAAAATAACTAAAAAAGCCTGAAAACCTTCTTCCCAAACTGTGCCTTACACAGTTGAATTTTTTTACTTGGACAAACAAATTGAGACGGAAGTAATAAGAATTTTAATTGTCCTTTGACATTGATTTTTTTAGTTAATTTTTTAAGTCAATACTTTTTTAGTTTGAGATTAAAAAATTCGTTTGATTTGATTTTTTTGACTTTTATGAGAGAAAAAATGAAATAATTATGATTTAAATTATTTAACTTATTTTGTCTTTTCTGCTTTTTTAGCCCAACTAAGATCTCGTTTGGAAACATATTTTTTAGTAACTTTTTAGATTTTTAGTTAAAATATGATATAAAAAAACTAGGTGTTTGGAATGACTTTTTGATTTTTTATGAAAAGATATATAAAAATAGAGAAAAAATAGAATTTTTAACTTTTTTTATATAAGTTGTTAATTTTTTAATTTTTTTAATAATTTTCATATTTTTAGATTAAAAAATAATATTGTCAAACGTGACTTAGGGCTTGTTTGGAATGACCTAAATAAGTGTACTTTTTGTCTTTTTATGAAAAGATATACATAAAAGTAGAGAGATGATGTGATAGAAAAAAGATAAAAAGATAAAAAGATGAATTATTTTAAAATTGCAAAACTTGATCTTAAGGTAGTCCAACGAAGTATTTAACTTATTTTGTCTTTTCTGCTTTTTTAGCCCAACTAAGATCTCGTTTGGAAACATATTTTTTAGTAACTTTTTAGATTTTTAGTTAAAATATGATATAAAAAAACTAGGTGTTTGGAATGACTTTTTGATTTTTTATGAAAAGATATATAAAAATAGAAAAAAAATAAAATTTTTAACTTTTTTTTATATAAGTTGTTAACTTTTTAATTTTTTTAATAATTTTCATATTTTTAGATTAAAAAATAATATTGTCAAACGTGACTTAGGGCTTGTTTGGGATGACCTAAATAAGTGTACTTTTTGTCTTTTTATGAAAAGATGTGCATAAAAGTAGAGAGATGATGTGATAGAAAAAAGATAAAAAGATGAATTATTTTAAAATTGCAAAACTTGACCTTAAGGTAGTCCAACGAAGGCTTAATTACTATTAATTTGGACTTAATTGGGTTGCCACGTTGGCAATCTGAGTGGAGGTGTCTCAACCAATCAGCACATAGTTTTAATTCCTATATAAATTCCCGCTCCACGCCCTGTTCTCCGCCATTCCAATCAGCGTCTGTGTCTTCCAAAGAACCCAAAGCGGTGGAAAGCGAAAGCTAGGGTTAGGGTTTGTGAAGAAAGAAGAAAAAGAAGAAGATGAGTTCAGGTGGGGGATCAACGAAGGGTGGGCGAGGAAAGCCCAAGGCATCGAAGTCTGTGTCTCGGTCTCAGAAGGCGGGTCTTCAGTTCCCCGTCGGTAGAATCGCTCGATTTCTAAAGGCCGGAAAGTATGCCGAGCGAGTGGGCGCCGGAGCTCCGGTCTACCTCTCTGCTGTCCTCGAGTACCTCGCTGCCGAGGTATATTTTCTTCCTCATCATTGTCCGATTGTTTCATCAAAAGAACAAACATTTTGTCCTCAATTTCAATAGATTTTGATTTGGGAATTATGTTTGATTATTGGAATTGGTTGGTGTTTGATGAATTTGATTATTTTTGTTTGTAGGTGTTGGAGCTAGCTGGGAATGCGGCGAGAGATAACAAGAAGAACAGGATAGTGCCAAGGCACATACAGTTAGCAGTGAGGAATGATGAGGAGCTGAGCAAGTTGTTGGGGTCAGTGACCATTGCCAATGGAGGGGTTTTGCCAAACATTCACCAGACTTTGTTGCCTAAGAAGGTGGGTAAAGGGAAAGGGGATATTGGTTCTGCTTCTCAGGAGTTTTAGAAGCCACCCAGCCTTATGTGATGTACAATGGTTTTTTCTTTTTGGGTTTTCTTTTTAACAATGTATTATGATTTTAGGGGTATAGCTCCTCTTGGGGCATATGAATCAAAGTTCTACAGTTTTGATGGGTGAAGTTTGATGTCAATTGTGATTTTTTTTTTTCTTCTGGGGAATTTTGTGGTTGATGGCTTAATGTCAATTGATTAATTTATCCAATATGTACCAAATCTTTGGATTAACAATGCTTGGAAATCAAGTTTGTTTAGATACTGTAAACAAACATGCAAGTTGGGTATAGATCCTCAAGTTCGAATGTGAAATTTGGATCACTAGTTAACCTCTGCATGGAAAATGTTTAAGACCAAAATATAAGAGTGCCCAAGTTTCTGGACGACAAAACAAGTTGAAAAATATTTTTTTTTTAAAACAAAATATTTAAAGATTGTTAAAGTATCTTATTAGAGGAAAAAAATAGTGGACCGTTTAGAGTTTACTCTAACTTTTTTAATTTTAGAATTAAAAAAAATAAATTATCTTTTAAGAGGACTAATAAAGTAAATATTATGATATTTGTTAATCATCTTAGGCTTCGTTTGGCAAGAGGTTATTTTAGCTAATTAGCTAAAAAATTATTAAATTAGTCAAAAAGTCAACAACCTATACCAAAAAGTCAAAGATTCTCTTTTTTCTCTACTTCTTACACATCTTTTTATAATTAGTTAAAAAGTCATCCCAAACATACAAGTTTTTTTTACCTATTTTTTTAGCCAAATAGCCAAAAAGTTACTAAATTAGCTTGTTTCCAAACGAGGCCTTAATAGCACTTATACATCAAAACAATTTGAGAAGAGTCTAAAACTATAGATGAATATACAATAGTGTTATTAAGCTACCAATAATATCTTGAATTAAAATTAGATTTGAGCTCCATCTGAATTTGAAAAACTCACCAAGAAATAGATGAGTAAATATTTTCGACAATACTAAACAATACCAAAGAGAGTAAATACATAAATGAATGTATGTAATTAATTCGAAGACTTAAAATTTGCTCCAAACCTGTTAAGCTTATTAACTTCTCATAAAATTTATAATTTGGCTTGGAGTTCAAATTAATAACAGGTTTGGAGTTCAAATTAATAATCTGTTAGGCTTATTGACTTCTCATAAAATTTGCACAATTTGGAGCAAGTTTTCAACTCTGACTAGAAAGCTTTGAAAGATTTTTTTTTGATCTGTCTAACTACAAGATTCGAGACAAAGCGTTGAAGATAGTTTTGGCAGAAACAAAAGGTAATAATATATCTATATTTCTTTGCCAATTAATGTGTTCTCTATTATATCAATGCAAGAGCCAACGGACTTTCCCAAAGCCATGGCTTCTGCTACTCTGGATCGAGCTTCTTGATGACGAACTAATATTAAGAGAGTATTTACAGCAGCCCATTTTACTTGAGAATCAGCTTCACTCTTTGTGAAACCCAACCATTTAAGCACTCTATTCAACTGTTTCATAATTGATAAATTGCCAATTAGTAATCCTATTCAATTAAGGGAAAGTGAATATTTTATAGAAAACATGTGCTTACCTTTTCCACATCAGAATGAAGTCCTTCAGAGTATCCAAACACCAGTTGCTCTGCTGCTAAGCCTCCTAAGATTACGCATAAAAACTTATTCAAAGTCTGGAATAAAAAACAATATAAACAAACCCATATCAACATATAGTGAAAATGATGTAGAGAAACCATTTTCTAATAAACAACAATATTAGGATTCTTATGGTAAAATCCTGCAAGCACTGAGATGATAATTGATTCTCAGTGTAATTAGAGTCCTACAAAACATTTCTCACTTGACAATACCCCAAACTTTGAACTGCGTACGCAAATGAAGAATTGTCAGATCAATTGATTGATACTTGATGCTTGATGCTGATGCTTCTTACTGTTAAGAACATAAATTTTATGAACACAGCAGAAGTATATTAACATGAAAGTGAGAACTCAAACATTAGTATTGCTTAATGAAGTATCCTATTGGCTTGAATTCAACCTTCTAACAGGTTCGAATAGGAACTTGTCAAACATTCACAAAAATGACTTCTGAACTTTTGCAAAAAGGTTATAAGCATAATGCTCAGCCTTGTCTATAGGGTGTGACTCAGACTCATGACACTGCTATTTACTTGGGGCACAGTTAATGTCTGACCTTGCTTGAACAAGTCTGAAGTGTTTTAAAGAAAACCCACTAATTATGATAACCAGTTAGCACAGTTTGAGTGGAATGTTGGAGTTTATGTTCATGTTAATCAACCTTCTAGTGTTACACTAACTGAACAATGATGTATATAACACAGGCACATTGTTTTACTTTAAAAATATACAAATGAGTGCATATGCTCCAGAGATGCCAAGAGTAGAGGTATTTAAAACTAGATTCTGTGGCACTCCCTTTACAGGCCACTCATGTCACAATTCAGACACCTACTAGCTCATATTACTTATGCCTATCAAACTTTGAAATATAATTAAACTAAACTGAAAATTTGGGTGTTGAAAATCACAACAACTCTAGCATTGTTAATTAAATAAGGCATGGCTAAACCAATTGTATTAGAAGCAAACACCACTACCTTATTTCCATTTTATTTTAATGAACAGTTTCCTATTGAAGTAAAAATGAAATGATTGTTCACAGCAATTACAAAAGGTTCTTCCTCATTATTCAGATCTGAATACTAACTGATTCTAAACAAAGGTATAAAAAGAAGTAAGCATCCTATGAATGGAAAGATGATAGGCAGTAGTATTCACAGTTTATGGCTCATCCAGTCACCATAAATAGGCATAACTTCGAGTATTCAGGCAGCAAACTTGAGCCAATTTCCTAGAGGCTTATCCAACTTGAGGATGACTTTTTATATTCAAGTGATATACAGCACATGTGAATCCTCTTGAGTGCTACAAATAATTTAAGCATATTGATTTCACGATTACTTTATCTTTCACAATATAACCAACTCAAAGCTCTGCAATAATGGATCCTAGAAAATAAAGTTACGTATAACATGTATACTTATCAAGAAAAAAATAAAAAAGAAAGTATGATGCACAATTTCTCTATCTTTCCTATTCCCTGTTGCTTTATTTTTATTTTTTAATTTCAATTTTGTGTTAATAATGAAAATCATAACTTGTGTTACATGGGCTCTTCTAGATTTGTTAATTAACCATATCAGACACTCGACACTTGATTAAGGATACGAAATCTTTGTCCAACATGTCTAGTTGGACATGCACATTCGATGTGCCTAAGGGCATCTCCAGCCCTTCCCTTTACTCATATCAAATGTACATTTGAGTAGAAATCCTCTCCAAAACCCTCTCTCCACTCCTTTGCTCAAAACTCGTATCAAAATGAGTTTTACTCATTTTTTTACTCAAATCAAGGGAGAATCAAATGTTTACTCAAAATTTTTAAGGCTATTTTGTGGCTTTAAAATTTATAGTCCTGCCCTTGGTGAAGTTTTTACTCAAAGTTAAGCTTAAATTTGAATTGTCCATTGGAGTGTTTCATTTCAAATAAAGCTTTAAAATTTAGAGTAAAAGCTGGTTGAGTTTAAATCATGACTTTACATTTGACTCTGACTATATACATAAAAAACTCTATGTTAGTTTGGGAATGCCACTTTACCTTTAAGAAACATGAAATCTAGTTGTGTCCTAGTGTCCTCGAACATGACAATTAGATGAATTCAACACTTAAAAAACACATATCCCCACCCCAACATAAAACACGTATCCATGTAACATATATCATAAAAAAATGACCCTCAACATGAGATTTTCTCCCTTGGACCACCAATTAGTTATTCATTTTTCAATCTTTTAATGTTTATGTAAAACATAAATACCTAGTTTCTTGTGGTTGATAATTGAATATGATTTGACACAGAAAAACCAAGTCAGTATCATATAAATCAAAGAAAAACTTTTAGCTTAATATATGATAATAAAGGGAACAGGATATCTCACCGTGGATGAAATCTTGCCTCTATTGGCCTGCATGTCATTAAAACAGATATATTAGAGGTTGATGATGACATTAAAACAAAATAGCACATACATATTTAGAACTTGTTTCATAGAGAATATCTTTCCAACTTATGTCACGGTCCCTTTTAATCTAGTTCCAGTGGCTTCAGTTAGTGGCAAATCATACTACTACATGGGTTTCTTTTTGGTCTTTTTGTTTTGTTTCTTTAACTATTTGCCTATTCTTTTTTCCAGAATATGATCTCTGTCCTGATAGAGCCTCACAAAAGGGTATTTTAACCCTTAGATAACAAATTATCTAGCAACAAATCATGTCATGTTTACTTTCAGATAAGCACCATCAGATACTGTAAAAATGGGTTCAGGACATATAACCCTAAGGTGAGGTGATTAGTAGGCAGCAGATGTTATATGCGCTTCTACATAGTGGTATTGCATATGTGCTAAGAAACACCGACACATCCAATAAGGCGTCATGTCATGTTGGACACCGTATAATCTAAGCTGATCTGATGCTGTCTATTCCTGATTAAAAGATTGTGTACAGATACAATGGTAGTGATTTACAATACTCTGTTATATTCTCCAGTACTTCCTCCAGTTAAGGACATCTACGATGACTGTTTTACCTTGGCTTCTTGTTCAATTTCAAATTTCATAACCATTTGCAATTGCGAAATAGAAAGACAAACGAAGGAATTTAAATTTAGGACAAGATCAACTTGCTTATACATATGTCTGCAGACTACATGGGGTCTTTTGTGTTTACATAACAAAGGGTTTTAAATAAAAACCTAAAAATATAGAGAAGAAACCTGTGTTATACACATTTAGCTAAATCATATCATAATGTTCATGATAACCTAGTGATTCAGTGTACCTCACTCATTATACCCTCCTATAGATGTTACAATGGGGATGTGCAACACTAGAACAGTTTGATTACCAAACCTTGTCAACCTTTACGATGAAAATGAAGAGAGAATAGAAGTCTTACTCCATCAAATAATTTTCCCTTGGAGAAGTTCTGTAATATTTTTGTAGTATCAATCTGCAAGCAATGAGAAATTGAGAATAGTGAACTAACCATTGTGAAAAAGTAAGTGCCGCACAAAAGCAAAGTAAACATCATTATATTCTCCAGTGATCAATCTCCAATTTCCTTACAGTCACTACAAAAAAGTTTGAATAAACCAATGGATACAAAGGTAAATCATAGAAGCAAAATTAACCAAGAACACAAACCATAACCTTTGCACCAGCCCCAAGAAATCCTTTACATTCCAGACAAAACTGATCCTGAACAATTAAGCCAGACACTTAAGAATCTGTTTCATTTGAGCTTTAAAGATTTTACAGTGAAAAATGACTGCATCTCAGGCAACCATCTCTGATGCAACACACATCCGATGTGTAGCTTCAAATTTTTTAGGGCAAAATTCATTTTACCCCCTTATGGTTCAATAATAGGCAAAGAGCCCCCACATGGTTTTGGACTAATGTGCAACTGTTACATTTTCCATCTAAATTAACACAAATTGCGCCACATGTACGGAATTGGAGAGTTCACATAAAAAAAAGTTAAGGTCAATTATTGTTGTGAAAAGACACAACCACCCTTTAACTTCATCTTCCTCATCTATCCCATAAAAAAACCCTAAATCTAACTCAACCAGCAGCAGCAGGACAACACTTTCCACACCATTACTACACCTCTTCACCATTTTCTTTTCACTGTTACCAATTGTGTTTTCTCTCTCTCTCCTCCACTAGAACACCACCATAGAACACTCTCCATGGAACTCGTCCCCATTGTCCCCTCCAACTCTCTAACCATTTGATTGCTGGACCACAAGAAGCGAACTTGGCAGTGGTGCATCAATGACAGCTTGGCAGCGGTGTTGATTTTCTGGACCACAAGAAGTCAACACCGTTGCCAGAACCATTTGGGATGGCCATACTTGTCTTTGCCGGATTTGAATACGGGTTTATGTGACATTGCCGGAAGTAGAGTAAATTAGAAAGATAACACCAAGATGTGTGTGTGAATGCAATGGGTTTGTGCCTGAAGTTTGAACATCACATTAATTGTAATAATAATTGTATACTCCTTTGGGTCATGGTGAATGGATCAAATTGAAAGATCCTCTCATTACTTGACTTTATATGTTTTCACTCACATAAGGATCCGTCAAGCTCGTGATGATATGCATGGAGTAATTTTTAACCCCGCTCATACGTTTTTAAGGATGAAATGGCATCGGTATATATGTATATGTACAGATTGAAAACTTAATACGTAATCAAATTTAAAATTAGATTTAAAAGTTAAATAATTTTTTTTTAATTAGATTGAAAAGTTAATTTAATTTAATTTTTTTTTTGTAAATAAAAGAAATTTTATTATTAAATTAGGTTTAAAAACCAATAATAATAATGTCTTGAATAAGAAAAGGAAGGGTATAATTGTCTTTTCCCGTTTAACCTTAACAGAGTTATTATTGCAATTTAGTCCAAAACCATATGGGGTCTCTTTGCCTATTTTTGAACCATAGGAGAACAAGTGCACCAGGCTTTAAAATTATGAGAAATCAGATCCAGAAGCTCAAATCAGCTAAAAAATATCAATTTCTCTGGCATACAATACAACAGGAATCAAGAGAACTGGAAAATGAAACCAATGAATTGTATTCCATAAATAACCTATGTTGACAAAATATATAAACGTATTGAAATTTTAAATTTATGCCGATTTCTTTTGGAAGGTACAGTCCATTAATGCAGAAAAAACAAGGCCAATATTTAGAGAAATGTAAATCATTTACTGGTTATGATTTTGGGGCAGGGAATAAACAAAGTGAAAGATAACAATAAACTTACGTCTCTGAGAAATTCAAATCCCAAAAATTCTACCCTTCCTCGTGCAAATTTTTCTTGTCTCAAAGCTTCCATGTTAGACACTTTATATCCTTTTGGTAGCACTCCAAGCAAGTAGCCAACTAAAAAATGACCAGCTTCGTGCTGCACAAAGTTATATTCTGCTTGTTGAAGTGTATCATGGCAAAGAAGTTTCAAGAAAAATGTTGAAATGGATACCTTTAGAAAGCGCCGTATTAATTGTTACTAAAAAGAAGTTAAAACTAGTGGAATAGCAAACATTTCAAGGTTGGTAATGTAAACTTTCTCACACCCCTGCTTGAAACAGTTAACTGGGGTAAACACAATGCATTGCCCAGTAAACCCGTGCCTTATTCTTTCACCAAATTGGAGTGGTAAGGAAAAATGGTTGTCTTACTTGCATACACATTAGATGATCTTCACAGAGAGACTCATAGCTTCCACTGTGCATCATATTCTTCAGTTCTAATACGGAGACCTAGCAAAAACAATTTTAGTCAAAAAAGACATGAAATTCAATACGTCATTAGGATCAGTGGATGAATAGATTGATCTCTGAATGACTCGAAATGAAACACAAATAAAGCCACTTGCAACTTAAGGAAGTTGTATCCATGACAGGCAGGCAATAACAAGGACATCTTCCCTTAAAAAGTCACACTTAAGGGCAATAAATACTTGAGTTGAGGATGATAGAAAACTTGTGTCTAAAATGACAATCCATCAATTACATGAAGAAAATAACCTAAAACACCGTGTTAGTGCATGATTCCCCATAAAGAGCAGTCGATGATGTATCATGAAATATGTGCATCCTCTGGTGGCACGTCAGAAAAACAAACATGATAATATAGAAGAGTTACATTCCTATGAGCAGTATAAAATCTATCATCTTAGCCCTTAAAAAACTATAATTAATGTGTCAACCACCAAGATGCAAGTAATGAGGTTCGTTATTAATTAAATGGCCACCACATACAAAAACATGTTACAAGCTTGACCACATAAATATCATTATATCTACACGTCAAAATCATCAGAAACCTCTTTGCCTCACTAATCCTTCTTCTGGATCCTTAAATTTCAGAAGAATTCAAATATTTGGGCAATGCTAAATTTTACCTTCATCATCCATGTTGTGTTTTCAGTATTTTAGAATGTTTAGTAATACACCATAAACAACAATCATACATGGATAACTCAGTCATCTTAATTTCCTCCTTACTTCTAGGAAGTTGGAGTAATATGTGATGAAGCACACATATTCTTAAATATCAACTTTTTCATCTCTCTCTATCTCGTTTGTGAACACTGTAAAGTGAAATCCCACATCGCCCAAGTACTAAAATAATATTAAGCATATAAGCGTGAGGGCACCCTCACTTCTTGAGCTAGCTTTTGGGGTGAGTTCTACCAAGACCATGTGTGTCTTTGCATGAGCATGCATGCATGCCTTTATGCAAGTTGTTCCTTAATAGAACATCAGCCATGGAATTGTAATCCTTAATTATTAGTCTTTATTTCTCTCTCATATCTTCTGACTAATTTTCTCTTTAAATAGAAACACACTTAATCATCTACTTTCTAAAAAAATAAACACATAATTCTCCACTTAATATGAGAACCGATGGTTTGTAGGTTAGAAAAACTCCATACTCTATCCAAATACATCATAAGATGGAAAAGAGATTCATGAGGTTTGCCTGTACCCCATTTCTCAAGACACCAACCATCCTCATGAAAAGTAGATGTCACTGACTAACAGAAAGAAACTTATGTAGATCATTGAGGGCCAAATGGAGAGTGAGTGGCAAACCCGCAATCAATAAAAAATTAGTACAGATTCAGCTTTGGATTTTGTACAGCATGCAACACTTTGGTATATTGAGTTCTTAAACATTAAGTGATTCACCAAAAAACAATCTCGCCCAAATTTTCAGTATAAGAAGAAGAAAAAAAACAGATGGAATTAGAGGCTTCAAATTATCTTTGATTATGAAAATATAATCCTCATCATTAACAATTGACTGGAAGAATGGGGAATACTGAAAATCTCCTTCAATTGAATAGAAGCTATCCCCAATTGTCATTGTCTCCTCAAACTCATAAACCAGACAGAACTCTTGATAGAACCCCAAGGGATTCCCAGTCCAAATCCTAAATATTTAGCCAACCATGTAATGGCATTACCAGCAGCAGCCTATAGGGATTAGGTGTGGAAAATGTTGAGACAATGTCCTATTCCACAACTTTAGAATCTCTCCTAAGGCACAGGCAACTGTATGCTGACCGCTTTCCAGTATGCAGGGCGAGTTTTTGCTATACTCCTTCAAAAGCCAGAAACTACATTCCCTTGAATCCATTAGAATATTACTATTGTGAGCTACTAAGCTTCTCTTTTTCTTCTTTCTGTCTTTTGAAACGATGAACCATAAATTTAGTGTCCTAAACATTCCAAGTCTTCATATGTCTTGTCCCTTTATAAATGCCATGAATCTCACGGAAAGAGAAATTGCAGTACTAAGGAGCACCATGTTTGTTCTGTTCAAATCCACTTTAATGAACCCATGAGGTACCTTTAAAGCAACAAAATAGACAGATACTACTTAATACTGATTATTTACATGTCTGTTCTCTAGTTGTTATAATTTAATCCTTTTATGTGCTCTATATGTGGTATATCACACTAGGACCTGGTTGACCAACATAATTTAATAATAAAAGAAATTATCTCAAGATAAATAAATAATACAATTCAAAGCCATACGTAAATCTTGTTGATTTCTCAAACTTAAAATTGTAATTTTGTTGACCATGGGCCAAGATACGGGGTTATTTGGATCTTGTTATGATCATCAATTTCTTTTTTCCCCTTCCTTCTGATGTATAACGAGAATCAAATCGAAGACCCAATTTTGCCCACCCCAACAAATCCTATGATGGCATAACCAGATTATTGTCATGTGAAAATCACTTTGTTGGGGTCGATTTCTTAGAACATGTTGGTATTTTTCAGCCCTTTTTGGCTGTGGGAGGCAATGGCAATGGCAATGGCAAAGGCAATGGCCTGGGAAGAAGCATGATGACCATTAAAGGTAAATTCTGGTAGCTCAACAAATTACAAATTCTGGAAAGTCTTTTGCATCACCAATTATTTTTTTTTCCCATTTTTCTTACTTTGAGGTTTAAATAATACATGTAATCAAATGTTGTATAAAATGAAATACCTTCATGCTATTGGACATCCAAATGACCTATTATGATTGGCGGTGAATAGAATACATGCAGCAATGTGTAAATAGTTTATCAAGAAGATGCATCAAGACATGCTTGCCAATATTGATGGTTACAATTTTTTCCATAGCACTGCAATATAAAGAACAAAAAAGTTGAAAAATGCAAATACTTACACAGAAAAGATAAAAATGTGAAACTTTAACTCATAGATTGAAGGTCATAAAGTAGGGAATAAGGATAGAATGCATAAAGAAAAATACAAACCTTTGCCTAGACACTCTAAACCAAACCTTGAGGGATTTTTGCTGAGGTGCTTAAGGTTGCACTTTAGCACTTGAGAGTATGAAATTAGTGGTTCCGATAATTGAAATTCAATACTGCGCTCGATGGAATTCAGAATTGAATCAACTAAAGATTGAAGATATGATATGTCTATTCCACTGAGCTTTAATTCATCCAAAGATGAGATTCTTCGATGAACCTACAGAATGGAGCTTTTAGCATCTTTAAGACAAGTTATTCCAAGAACATGATACATTCAATAACACCGGCATGCTAAAACATCATGGCAAAAAGTGTCTATGGCAACTTGGAAGTAGGGAGGGGATGGGAGGAGGGAGAGAGAGAGGGAGCAAAGCAGTTTATAACCAATGTTTTAAGTACATGTTTGAATGTCTATCGAAGATTTGCTATGCTTTGTGACTTCACAATTATCATTTTCCCATCAATTCACCGTAAACATCATATGAATCTTGAAAATACGGTATCAATTCAAATACAGATAATAACTACAATTTAATCAAAAACAAGATTTGGAATGGCAAGAAAACATAGTACTTTCAGCTGAATTCCTATGCATCCCATCTTCGGAACAAATTGAACCTATAAACTATCAAAACTTCCACTTGATTTTTACCTAGTGGAGGGACCAAATACTAGCCCACAACAAGAGTTCCATAATGTTTATTGTTTCTAAATTTTCAACAACACTAAATCACTTTCCTCTAATTTTCTTTCCCATTTTCTTGTTTAATAGAATTTTGAAAAACTCTCTTTTATTGAGGAGCATCATCTGAACCTCCTCAAGGAGCACTGAATAATTTCTGAGTATGCATCTAGTGATTGTGAATGACATTTATAAGAGAGACTTGAATCAAAAAGACATTCATAATAGAGATTTAACATTCCCGCCAAAATTCAACTCATAGAACAACAATTTCAAGCAACCACATAAATAAATCTCCAGTAAGGCAATTAATTAAGTAGCATTGCATCAACAAAGCGTCTAAACACACCAACCCTCTGTTTGGTTTCTGAGAAAAACCGGAATGGGAAATAACAATAACAGCGAATAAAAGAAACTTGAAACTTGAAACTTTCTTTTCCTACAATCTCTAGGCAACCAAACAGAGACTTTCTCTGGTTAGGGAAAGGGAGCAGACCTGTTTGGCAGAACCAAAGCCACGGAGGCCTCCAGGCTTACCCTGCAATTGCTTGACCAAAGTGAGAGCTGCCTTGTGGTTTCCCTTAGAAAGCTCTCTATCCACTCTTCTCAGCGCTCGACGACGTCGTACAGCGTCTGGCTCTTTCAACTTGGCCAAGACTAGGGTTCCATTCGCAGGAAATTCGTGCCGGAGGTGGAAGGCGCCGGAGTGAAGCGGCAAGTTCATATCTCTGCAGATAGGATTTTCTGGTTGGTTCCCCAGAAAATGAACCCCAATACACCAAAAAGAAAAGGAAAATTTAAACCCTTGAGAAACGACGTCGTATGGAGTTGCATCCTCTGAGGCACCCCTTCAATATTCTTAATTTAAAAATTTAAAAAAAAAAAAAAAAAACTTTAAATTTGTTAATTTCATTTTGTTGCTGATTGGAACTTGAATTTTTGATAATTTGGGTTTTTTCAATTTTTTTTTTTTTTTTTCATGGTTAATTATCCAATTCATGTGGTTGAGAATAAGTGAGAGCATTGTGAAGCATGTGTTAAAGCATCCACCATTTTCCACTAGTGTTTTCTGGGTGTTACAAGTTTTCTTTGAATGGGCATTGTGGCCTACTATGCAGGTGTGTTGCCCAATTGGCAATTGAGATTGCCCAGTTTCAGAATTGCTAGCTTGTCCGAGCCGGCTGGGTTGCGATGGCAAGTGTTGGAACAAGTTGACAAGGAGCTGAGTAAAGGGGATGAGAGAATTGCACTTTCTCTTGTCAAAGATATGCAGGGCAAGCCCGGTGGACTTCGCTGTTTCGGTGCTGCTAGGCAGGTCCATGCCTTAAAACTTACTTCCATGGACTGTAATTCTTTGTATTGAAGCCAAAGATTCACCTCTTTACAATCCCAGATTGGTTTACATCGTAATGACTTTAAATTACAGGCAATTAAGATTGTGTATAAATTGTGATGTAGCCAGAATGTGTCTTTTCCAATTCTGATATACATATATATATATGGTACTGAACTTGCTCTGGGTACTGGAGGGCAATTTTAAGCAATAGGATTTGGAAATTAGAATTTATACATGGAGGTGTGTGCTTCTTCTTATCAAGTGATTGAAAACAATACAAGTCATGGATTTTCATTCTCTTTGGTTTCAACCTGACATTTGTCCATCTGAAGCGTATTTACACAAGCTTTTCTGCTAATTTTAGGTCACATTGAAGTTTCCATTCAATCAGTGGATTTTCTGTGCAGGTACCTCAGAGGCTCTACACTTTGGATGAACTAAAACTGAATGGAATAGAGACTTCCGCTCTTCTGTCACCAGTAGACACTACTCTTGGTTCTATAGAAAGAAACCTGCAGCTTGCTGCTCTTTTAGGAGGAATTTCTGCCTGGAATGTGTTTGAATTTAGTCCACAACAAATCCTATACTTATCTTTGGGATTGCTGTTTTTATGGACGCTGGACCTGGTAATTTGCTGCAAAACAAATTTTATGCTTCATCTGAAAACATGTTGCATTATGCATCTGTAATATTGTCGTTCTTTCTCTGTGCCTTTTGCCCAAAATTGAGTCTAATGATGTTGTTACCTATAACACAAGTAAACGATATTTACAAATACACTCTCTTCTCTACATATGCATAGCTGCTTTTGCTCCTGTTGAGTCTGGTTTTCTGTTATTTTATTTTTCCCAAAGTAAAATCTCTCAAAATCAGTGCTTTTTACTTGATTCATTGCAGATTGAATTGTTTCCAAATTGTGTTGAAGGTTGGAATGTGGCCTCTTAAAACATTTGGGTGGCCTGAACTTACAAAGATAGAATCTCATATGCTTATTCAACAACTTAAGATTTCTGCTTTACTGACTACTCTAAGCAGTGAAGGCTAATACGACTTCACCTCATAACTTATAGTAAGTCATACATCCAAAAAAGAAGAAGATAACTTGCTTGTTTAGGGATTATTCGCTTGAATTGAAAAGATGTTTCAATTTACGAAACCTCATATATTTGAAAAGAGGGAGAGTGAGTAGATCATATTTATGCCTTAGGTGCACAGTCTGCAATATATTTGAAAAGATTCCTCGCTTTGCTTCCTATCTTTTGTTATAGCATGCTCGGCAATTCAAACACTGTTTTCTAACCATTCTCATCTTTCTTTGAGTAAATTAAAGTCATCACTAAAATGACAGCATGACTCAAAAAATGAAGTAATTTAGTTTGAAGTTTCAAATCGTCAATAAAAGGAGGAACCATATTGGCACTTCACTTGAGGCCATCTGCACTCTACTTGCAGGTATATTTTAATTTCATGTACTCATAATATAGAGCATGGCCCTAGCAATAATTTAAGTAGTCTCATTCAAAATGATAAGTAAATTAGTGAAAATGCAGGATATATTTGGTATATAGGTAGAAACAAATTTAGCATTCATGAATTGTTCTCACAGTTCTCTGTGGTTTCTTTTCTCGTGCTATTCTTTTGTGTTTAAACCTTTTTTGAGTCATCATTTGACTTGTATAGTATCTATCATCGGTCTCATCAGTGTTCCTTTATAGGTCTCTTTTAATGGAGGAGTCAGCGGCTTGCTTCTTGATACAATTGGACACACATTTAGTCAAAAGTACCACAATAGGGTTATCCAAGTAAGATGCGTATCTCTCTCTCTCTCTCATACAACATTTTTCTGTTGATTTTCTACATTGTGTGATGTATTATTCCAGAAACACTATTCAGAAATTATGATACATGTATGTGATGCAGCATGAAGCTGGCCATTTCTTAACTGCCTATGTGCTGGGAATTCTTCCCAGGGGGTATACACTCTCAAGTTTGGAAGCTTTGAAGAAGGAAGGATCTCTCAATGTTCAAGCCGGGACTGCTTTTGTGGATTTTGAATTTCTTGAAGAAGTAGGTGGTCGTTTTCTTCAAATTTTTAGTACCTTATCTTGACAGAAGTTTTTTTTGTTCCTGTTATGTTGGGAGGTTGAAGGATTGTCTTACCCCTACTCCAACGCTTCTAGGTATTCTACAGGACAGCACTTTACCACCCCATCTTGTATCTCACAAAGTATAAACACAGATTCAAAGATAAATTTTGGACACTTTGAGAAAATAGTGACATAAATATCTGCTTGGGGACAGCTTCTATTTATTGGGTTATTTGTGTTACTTGTTTTGACGTAATATCTAACAAATTGTGGCATTACTGCAATAGGCTTGCACCTTCAGTTTTGTGAAGAACAAATTGCTGAAAGGCAACTTTCATGAGTTTGTAGACTTGATTTGTACTTCAACATGTTGCAACCAACATTATGCTATATATTTCCACATTTGGGCATCTATGAGGTTGAATCTCCTTTCTTTCTTTCTTTTTTCTTTCTTTTTCATTAGATTTTTGTGGAACAGTCTGCACGCACAGGGGCGACGCTACCCTTTGCTTAGGGGTGTCACCTGAACCCCCTCAATGATTTTTTTATTATTATATAGATATTAGAATTTATGACAGAAGTCAACAACTAAACCCACTAAATTATAATTTTGAACCCACACTTTTCACACCCACTACTTTTTGAACCCTCCAATGAAAAGTTTCTACTTTTTGATTTTTTTAATGATATGTCTACTTTCTGTTTAAATATTTTACATGTAAAAAAGTGTTATTTTGTAGTCTTGTTTTGGGAGATCAATAATGAATGATTGTTCGGTTATATATATTGAGAATGATGTATTTGATAGTATTGATAATGAGTTTATTATTGAACGATTTCAAAATATGAAATCTCGTCGGGGTGAATTGTAAAAACTCATGTATTAACATGTCTTTTTGTTTAAAGAGTAGTATCAATATATTAACATTCCTTTTGTTTATAATTTGAGAATTTAAATTAATTTGTTGATTTTTTGTAAATAGGTGACATATATGATTAATGTGAATTTTTTTTGTATATATGTCATTTAAATTTTTGATTAACTCCATTGGCAATAATTCCTGGAGTCACCACTGTGCACACATACTAATCACTACAGTTTGTAGGCCATACTAAAACCATGATGCAATCCCATGAAACTGGCACTATCTTTGTAACCATAGTTGGAACATGTATCCTCTCTTTCCCGTGCTCTAGGTCCAATTCCTTAAGGCTGTGTTTGGATTTATGATTTCGAGAGGGATTTGCAGAGGGAAAGGAAAAGTGACAAAAAGTCAGCTTATAGTTCAATCACATTTTTCTTTCCCTCAACAAATTCCTCCCCAAATCTAAGATCCAAACACAACCTAAAGTAGTTTACCTTCAATAAAACTAGGGAAATAAATTGTTAATTTTTGCAATTGACATGCTTAAAGTTATTAAGGGTGTATAGTTTTGTCAATTGCTTGTGGAAATGAAGAAGATTATTTTGAGTGAACAGGTATTTGAATAATTATCTTTTCTGTTGTTGGATCTTTGAATGTGACTTTTGCCCTCACGTGCAGGCTAATACAGGAAAAGTATCAGCCACGGTATGACCTCTTTTCTCATCATACGCATTGTCGCAAATTGATGTTGCAAGTTGCATGTTTCTCCAAGAAATTATTGGTCTATCATGTCAAATTTGGAAGGGGTTGTAATTATGGTTCACTCCTTTAGATGCTGAACAGGTTTTCATGCATAGCACTGGCAGGTGTGGCTACGGAATATCTTCTGTATGGATATGCTGAGGGAGGCCTTGCGGATATTAACCAGGTTTACACCATTCTTTTTCTTGTGTTTCTATTAAAAAATAAGTAAACGAATAAATAAATTAATAAGAATAAAAAGAGGACGAAAAGGGGGGGAAAAAATTCAAGCCAAAACAAGGAGTTTACTTGGAAAGGGCAGATAAATCATCTTTGCAAATGTGAGACCGATAAGAGCATCTCCAATGGTAGTAGGCATTTTATCTATCTAAATATTACTATAAAGTATACATTTTATTTTGCACGTCAATTGTTTCATGTTTCTACTCCAACCATGCTCTTTATTTTAGCTATTCATCTAAATAATATTAATTTTATAGAATGCCACGTCAATAACAAAGATGGAGGGAAATAATCCTAATGATTAAATACATTTTGCCTAGCCTTGAAGGCTAGCTACATGTAGCTAGCGAATGTGAGCTGAGCCAAAATGCCTAATCATATGCCTAGTGCATTGGAGTTGAAAAAAGTGAGTCACATTAGGCATTTTGACTAACAAGCATTATATGCCTAGTGGGTTGGAGATGCTCTAAGTTTTCTACAAGTTAAGAGCCCATCTGCTTAAAAGAATGTTAATGCCATGTTGTTGTACTGACTTCAAGTGTACCATAGTATCCCTAGGGGTCCTCCTTATGGAGCCAAGATATACAAAATCAAAGACCAATCATCAAGGACCCGCCACCAATGTTGTTTTGTTACCCTCCCTTTCATTTGAAAAAAAGAAAAAAACAGAATCAAGGACCACCACCTTGACTTAAATATGGAAACTGCCACTGCCACATCCTTTAGGATGGCCATTTTGATACAACCTTTGCGTAGCTACATAGTGTCCTGGATTCTCAATTTTATGTTTGTTAGAACTTAAGATTCAAAATTTAAAATAAAAGTTTGTCTTTGAATTTAAAGACACAAACCAAGGGACACTTTTCAAGAGACATATGTCCATTGTAAATGGGTACTTAGCGTCCTATATATAGAGGACCACCTTTTATATCCGAACGCATGACAAACATCATATTTGTTTCTCTCATTTTTTGATGTCCTTTTCTCCATAGTAGATATAGAGTATTCGACTATTTTTTATTTCTTTTCTAGCCAATCCAAGACAGACTTGGCATCCGTTGTCACCGATCGTGTGCCATGTCAAATATTGTGAGATTCTGGGTTGTATCTTGGACACGTACTTTTTCTGCTAGAACCTGCATGAAAGGAGACAAATACGGCTTTAGGACATTGACTTGTCGTGCTTCTCATCAATCTTAGACTACTTTTCTTTTTATACTTTTATTAGTAATTTGTGCTTGAATCACGTTTTTTGTTGCTGTTATTCATGATCTCTAGTGTTAAAATGTTTTAGGTATTTGTAATATCTAAATCCCCAACAATGCTGTCTCTGCAGAAACTTCTCTATCATGTTTGCTTGATTTACCAGTTTGACATGAGCTGAAACAGTGGCTTATTTTTTCTTGAGTAAAAACAGATTATTGTTCCTCACTATCATACATGGTTTCACTTGTTATGGTTGATACTTGATGTCATTGAGAGTAGTTGCATTGCTAAGTACTGAACCATTTTTAATTATTGGAACAGTTGGATGGATTACTGAAAGGCTTGGGTTTCACTCAGAAGAAAGCAGATTCTCAAGTGAGATGGGCTGTACTTAACACTGTCCTAATATTGCGTCGTCATGATGGAGCACGAGCAAGACTAGCAGAGGCCATGTCTGATAGAAGATCTGTGGGCTTTTGTATTGATGTTATAGAGAATGCCATAGACGATGCAGACATGTAGATTCAATTACTACTGATCTCTGTTGTTCAATCTTTTTACTAACCTTTTTTTTAAAAAAATGATGATGGCTGTTATTAATGAAAATCAATCAAATTAGGGAAAGCAGGATTAATCATCGAAATATTTAGTGACAAATAGACTCTTCCCTCAAGACCACTCCACAGGCAACACTTAGTCACTGCTGCCACCTTCCTCCTGACCAAATTAACTTTGCTGGTACAGGGCCGAAGGCATATGTAATTCCTAATCGAGAAAATTTATCAAAAATTTTAAAATATAATTTCAATTTCTACCATCATAAAAAAATTGAACAACATCACCAATAACTAAACATTCTTTATTAACATAATACGATCATAGTGTTGAGTATATTTTATTGTTTGCATTAACTTACAAAAAAATTTAAAATAATAATTATTGCTATATGTTTCTATCTACTAAAGTTAGACATCAAAGATTGTGCTTGGCATTTTTTTATGTTATATTAAACATCTACGATAAATTTAACATTAAAATTTTAAGCAATGTCTTTTTTTATCAAGTAACTAGCTAAAGAAACATTTTTCATCTTATTACGGAGTATAGTCTTGACAAGTTTCATAAGTGAAAACGCATGTTCCAATACACAATTGAAACATATAAGCTTAACACAAGACAAATCCTTAGTACTAAAATTTGGACTCAACACCCCACATCATTATCGAAACTTTATACTCAAGAGTAGTTGAACCCTTACTCACCCCTAGCGTCCCATAGTAATTTTCTCTAACCCTTTATATCTCTATTTCATCCTCGTTGCTCTCTCAATCTCACTAAAACCTATAGCCCCCACGGCTATTTGTAATATTCCATCACCATAATCGTTGAACCTTACACAAAATAAGTTACTTCATTGCCAAAAAATTTCAACTCGTGTAGACTTTCTTTTTCTCACACAACTATTAAAACCTAACACATAAAGATTCATAGTGAATTTTGAACTTCACAACATAATTCAAACATGGGTGAACAACCAATAACTATGTGTCCAAATGTGTGCACAAATCCCAACAATTACCCCCTCCACTCATATGGGGTGAACCATATCTACATCCTCTAATATAGATGCCCCCACTCCTTTGAGTTCTCTGACCTTGCGTGATAATGCACCTTCACTCATATGGGGTGATTCATTTTTCTTCCACCATTATGAGAAACAATTGGTTTTGGGGAGATTTTTTTGTTAGGGGTTGGGAGATAATGGCTTTTAGGGGTGTGGAGGTGTGCATTTTAATGGGGTGAAATTTTCATAAGGATAATTTTAGTATTATTTAGAGTGAGAAAATAAATTTTAAGGGTTTTAAAATTTATAAGTGGGGGTCCAAAATAATAAATAAAATGTTAATAGTAGTACTCTTGAATTTTTGTGTTGTGTAATGAGAAATTGAGTGCAAGGAGAAATTTTTGTTGTGCAAGTAGAATGTCCCTATAATTTTTTAATTCGGGGTCGGGGATCGGGGTCCCCATCGGGCCGGTTTCAAATTGCCATCCCTATATGTTTCTATCTACTAAAGTTAGACATCAAAGATTGTGCTTGGCATTTTTTTATGTTATATTAAACATCTACGATAAATTTGACATTAAAATTTCAAGCAATGTCTTTTTTTATCAAGTAACTAGCTAAAGAAACATTTTTCATCTTATTACGGAATATAGTCCTGACAAGTTTCATAAGTGAAAACGTATGTTCCAATACACAATTGAAACATATAAGCTTAACACAAGACAAATCTTTAGTACTAAAATTTGGACTCAACACCCCACACCATTATCGAAACTTTATACTCAAGACTAGTTGAACCCTTACTCAACCCTAACCTCCCATAGTAATTTTCTCTAACCCTTTATATCTCTATTTCATCCTCATTGCTCTCTCAATCTCACTAAAACCTATAGCCCCCATGGCTATTTGTAATATTCCATCACCATAATCGTTGAACCTTACACAAAATAAGTTACTTCATTGCCAAAAAATGTCAACCCGTGTAGACTTTCTTTTTCTCACACAATTATTAAAACCTAACACATAAAGATTCATAGTGAATTTTGAACTTCACAACATAATTCAAACATATGTGAACAACCAATAACTATGTGTCCAAATGTGTGCACAAATCCCAACAATTACCCCCTCCACTCATATGGGGTGATCCATAGCTACATCCTCTAATATAGATGCCCCCACTCCTTTGAGTTCTCTGACCTTGCGTGATAATGCACCTTCACTCATATGGGGGTCCAAAATAATAAATAAAATGTTAATAGTAGTACTCTTGAATTTTTGTGTTGTGTAATGAGAAATTGAGTGCAAGGAGAAATTTTTGTTGTGCAAGTAGAATGTCCCTATAATTTTTTGCTAACATCAGCAAATTCTATGATGTCAACTAACAGTTGACTTACAGATGGATCCATATGTTATACAAAATTCTAAAAGAGAGGTCAATGATATTTGAGAGAATAGAAGGGGTGAAAGTATTATGCCATCGGGCAATCAAACGATGTGAGTGTAATTTACACAAAATTAAATTGAAAGAGAAAAAGATTAAAAGAAAAGAAAATGAAAAATAGGAGGAAAAAAGAAAGTTACAACAGTTATGATGAATAAAGAGCCAAATGGGCCTACTGATTTTCACCATCTACCTTGTTGAAGGAACCCTAGCTAAATACGAGTGTAAGTCATTTGACAGCAACAGTTAACCCGATTTTGATTTTGCTTGTGAAAATGAAGGTCCTGTTGAGAGAGGAAAGAAAATTTCATGAAGATTGTACAAGTACCCTTTATCGTAAATATTATCCTTGACAACTTCCACATCTTCCAAACGAGATCTCCGAAAGAAGGCCCTCCATTTGCTCTCTGGCCGCTGCCTTTCACTGCTAAGTCCACTTATACTTGCTTTGAGTGCTGCAGCACTTACCTTTGCCTCATGTACCTTCCTCTTCCAGCTTAAGTACTCTTCCCACTTGAAAGTCTGTCATTTCAAAAAGGGCAAGAAATAGAAACTTTACTAGTCACCTAATGCAGTAAAAGGTGCATCTACAGACATACATATACAGTGATATAATTTTGACTCAATGAATTGCTAACCAGAAAATTCATTTTAAGTCCCAAATTGTGAGTCGTTTCTGGGTTTAGACATTTAGTAGATATAACTGATAGCTAAGCTACAAAAAGGAAGTTAATTTGAGACACGCCCAATCTGTCATAATCACAATTTCACCACACAATACTCAAGCCAATAACACGCATGTTTTAAGTTACTCATGAGTCATGACAGAAATTGAATCTTCTATAATAATATGGCATTCCACTGTAGGGGGAACTTTTGCTTTTAAAATGGTGCAAATTTTAAATTTGAACACTTCCAATCAATTTAAGTTTTCGTTACAGTATAAAACCACAATTCATATTATGCCTTCTTTCCAAGGAAATGAATTCTGGAAAATAAGCCTAAGAAAGTTAGGGGACATAACTAAAGCATTAGAAGTTCCCTAAATCTGGTGCTCTTCGTTATCCCAAGAGACAGTAAAAACAAATTTATTTACCAAATTCAGGGCAAATGAAATAGACCTCATTTGTGGTGGTGTTTGTGAGACACAGATTGGCATGATACCCAAAGAAACCAGCTAGTAGCAGAGAAACAATGGCCAGAAACACCATAAGAAGTATTTGAGTGTTGTAAGAGCCCAACAGCCACTGTTACAAGCCAGAGAAAAACATTATGGTAAGAGCCAAAGCAGAAGAGGCAATGGAAAGCATGATGTAAGCCGATATAATGCACATGGAATGCAGACCAAATATAATAAAATATGAAGAGCCCACTCATAAAGCAAGGAATACTTGTAGTTTGTCGCACCAAAAAAGAAAACCAAGTAAGCAATGAATACACTTAGTTTCTCACACACACAAAAAAAAAAAAAAAAAAAAAAAAAAAACCCAATTTTTTTTAATTCCCAAACCAAACAAAATTTGTACACGAAGGTTGTGCTTGGATCATGGTTTTGGAAAGGAAAAGGGAAATGTAAGAGAAATACAAATGAAATTTAAGCTAAATTACTTTTGTATTTCCCTCACATTTTCCTTTCCCTTTTTAAATCTCTATCCAAATTTATGATCCAAACCAAAGTTCCTAAAGCCAAATGCGTAACACAGGGCATTTTAACATCATGACTCATGAGGTGAGGCATAAGTCTTAAGGCGTCAAAGCATAAGCATTTTGAATTTTGAATTTTTAAATTTAGTAAATAAATTAAATAATTTAAAATAGTAAAAAACTAAATATAAATTCAATATAAAGGTGTAAAATTTTTCTCCTCGAGATATTGAACATTTTACTGCAAAGAAGTAAGCTTGCCCTTGTTGAAAGTGAAATTGATACTCACTTGAGCATTAACTTTGTATTTTTTCTTGATTGGTTATTTATCTAATTTTTCTTATACAATTTAGTTGCAAATGGGGTTCTTTTTTATTTTTTACTTTTTTATATTTAAACCATCTACTAGACTAAATTTAACAAGAGTCTAAGACGAGCTCTTCATATGTGTACTTCTCACATGCTTATGCGCACAAGGCAAACAAGGCACACCTAAGGTGTAAACCTCAGATTGTAATGTGCAAGACTTTTTTTTGATAAATAAAAAAAAATCAAAGCATTGATGTGTTTGCCTCAGCCTTTGCCTTGAGGTGAGCACTAAGGCAAGCCTTTTAAAACTTTGAGCCTAAACGGACAAAAACAAAGGCAGATTTTCAGAAAAAGAAGGGTACGCCATCCCAATCAATGTACAGTAGGAGGCAATACCAAACTGATTGGACAACCTGAAGTACATCAGTAATGGATTTGTAGTACAATATCTTTGTTAAAATTGATGTATTTACCTACTACACGCTCACCCTCTTCTATATATATTACAATGATTCATGATTCCTATATATAGAAGAGGGTGAGCGTGTAGTAGGTAAGGAGTAGGTGAAGTGGAGGTGGTATTTAGTGGAGTAGGTGAGGTGGTAGTGGTGTAGTGGGTTAGGTTTAGTGGAGTAGGTTTAAGTGGGTGAAGTAGGTGATAGGTTTAGTGGAGTAGGTGAGGTGGTAGTGGTGTAGTGGATTAGGTTTAGTGGAGTAGGTGAGGTGATAGTGGTGTAGTGGGTTAGGTTTAGTGGAGTAGGTTTAAGTGGGTGAAGTAGGTGATAGGTTTAGTGGAGTAGGTGAGGTGGTAGTGGTGTAGTGGATTAGGTTTAGTGGAGTAGGTGAGGTGATAGTGGTGTAGTGGGTTAGGTTTAGTGGAGTAGGTTTAAGTGGGTGAAGTAGGTGATAGGTTTTAACAGCCCCCCGCAAACTCAAGGGGGATAGGAACTAACCAACTTGAGTTTGGAGAGAGTAACAAAACAAGAAAATACATAAAAATAAAAGAGGATAAGAGACACTGTATGGTCGTGTCAGACCATTGGTGAAGACACTGGATGGTGGTGTCATAACGTTGTAGAGGAACTGTATGGGGGTGTCATAACCATGTAGAGGACACTGTATGGTGGTGTCATAACGGTGTAGAGGACACTGGATGGCGGTGTCAAACCGATGTAGAAGACAGTTTAACTCTATGAAACTCTGTCACGAAATCTTGTGCTCTAATTCTTGTGGAAACCCTAACAAAAACCCTAACAAATACAGTAAGTCAAGACTCCAATATAAAGTAACAAGAAAACCTAAACGAAGAAGGAAACAAGAACCACAAGGGTTTCATACCAAAAACACTCAAAAGACTTTCAAAGACACATTCAAACAGCAACCCAGTGGATCTTGGACAATACGAAAAATTAGTCAAAACGTTCTCGTTCAAACTCAAACAATTATGTGTTTAAACAGGCAATGCACTGGACAAACTTACAAAACCATGCTTGTTCGAATGAACAACCTCACATTCAAATGCACAATGCACTGTTCCATACTAAATTTGAAACAAGCCAATTCATTAAGTCCAAAAACCAAATCTATTAAATCTTAAAGTCAAGCTCATTAGTCCCAAAACTTAATTATCTAAGGTCATGAACTTGATTAAACCAAATCCAAATGGACTAACCTAGATAACATGATGCAAATACAATGCATTAGTTTTACCTTAAGAGTTTTTGGCTGTTTGATCATAATAAGGCTTGAGTAATCCAGAAGTATGAAACGATAAACCCAACTAGTCATTGTTGGCAACAAAGATGGTAGATGTAGATGAGTTTTGAATTTGGTATAGCTTCTTCAATATTATATTTGGAAGACGATAAAATTTTGACAATGTGCCTTGGAGCAAATGTGCATGTAGAGAGAATGAGTTTGTGTTCTAAATGCAAAATATCACAATCAGAAAAAGAGATTTTAGCTTCCAAAGGTTGAGAGAAAGGAGGTTGGTGTTTCAACTTCGAGAGAGAGAAAGAAAGAGAGTGTATTGTCATTTGATGTTTCAACTTATGATGCAAATACATGAATGCATTGTTTTTTTTGGCAAAAATACAATCATGCTTTTAATGTGACAAGATGTAAATGAGGGATGTAAAGGATATATAAAAAATAAATGAAATAATAGCAATTATAGGTCTTTACTCGTAACTTTTTTTATTGGGCATGAGTCTCTTCATGACCAAATTTGTTTTGATTCTTTCTATGATTATGACATATGTTCATTCTTTCCAATTCATAAGCCTTGTTGTTTAATGGGTGGGATCTTCTATAGAAAAATAATTAAATAAATTATATGGGCCTCAACTATTCTTATAAAAAATTGGGGGCCTTTCAAAATTGGGTTCATTTAGTGAAGGCCTATGAAGCATGAACACGGATACAGACACGGACACGGGACACGGCGATTTCAAAAAAATGGGGACACGAACACGGTGGGGGACATGACAAATTATTATTATTATTTTAAATATATATGTTGCGTATTTGCTATGTAGATTAATTTTATATTACCAAACAATCAAAATAAATAAAAACTAATATTAATTTAATGTGTATATAAGGACCATTACATTTAAACATTATAAACATATGTTCTATATATTGTAAACATTATATAAAGAAAAAATTAAATTAAAATATACAATATATATAAATATCTAATTATAAAATAAATAAAGAAGAAAGAAGATAAAGAGAAGAGATATAATATATATAAATTAAAATATAATATATATATATATATATATAAATATAAATATAAATATTTGATCAACAAAAAAGAGAGAGAAATGAGATAGCTGAGAGAGAAGACAAAGATACGAGAGGTGACAAGAGAGAAGAGAGTAGAGAGAGACGAGACAGAGCGAGAGACGAGAGATATTGAGATCGATTGAAAGAGGAGAGATAGACGAAAGAGAAGAGAGAGAGAGAGACTCTAAAAGAGATAGAGAGACTGAGAGCGACGAAGAAGACGATCAGAGACCAACCACTGACCACCGACGACTCACTAGCGAAGAGCTTCCAAGTATGCCTGACGAGCCCCCCTCTCTCTCTCTCTCTCTTCTGTTTTGAGTTCGATTCTTGTTCCGATATGGACACACATGTCCCTGCCGTGCCCCCGTCGTGTCCCTGTAGACACCTAATTTTTGACCGACCTTAAGACTCAGACGTCATCGTTTGTGCACTCGATAATTGTGCATGTTTGTACTCGTTTTGAGTGCCCAAAGTTCTCGACTGAATGCCTTGTCTTTGAGCCTCTAAACCCTCTGTGTTTTGGCCTTGTTTTTTGGCCAAACATTTGTGCCTCTTGCCTGGAGGGGGGGAAAGGCCTTGTCGGCCACTTTTCCTCCTTGACGGCTACTTGATGTGGTCGGTCGGCTAGGGGAGGTGGCTAGCTGGCCACCTAAAGTGGCCGACGGCCAATTTTCTCATTTTTCAGATATTTTATGTGCCAGCTGTACCAACTGTTGATCACTGAAAGCCTTCTCCATACACGTGTATGGAGGGATGGAAGCAAGCTTTTGGCTTGCATTTTTATATAAAGGGAGGTCTCTCCTCCATTTTGGAGGTTACAAAAATTTTGTGAGCAAAATTTCTGCCTCTCTCTAGAATTCTTTCTCTCACTCCCTATTTTGTGCTTGAAAGTGAGTTTTCTCTACATTTTTGCACTAAGACCCTTAACCAAGTACCTTCATCTTGGAGCTGAGGTTCTTGGAGGCCTATTTGGAGCTCCCGAAATTGGTTATAGCTCAGACTTGCACCTGTTTTTGTGCTATGCTTCAAAGGTAAAGGCTTACCTTTTTTAAGCTTTATTTTAGTGAGTTGTTTAGCCACCTTTGCATGCTATTTTGAGACTGGTTTTAACCTCTAAAAAACTCTGTTTTTATGATTTAAAATAGTAGTTTGAGGTATGTTTTGGAGTTAAGGGTGGTCCATAATCTTTTGTAGCTTGTTTGCTAAAGTGTTGTGCTCTTTTTCAAAGCTTTTAAAACAACTTTTTTTAGCCTTTTAACCATTGAATTCCAGGAGAATTTCAGTGGCAAAAAGTATGTTTTGAGGTCCAAAATAGGAGGGGGTGGCCTCCCCTCCTTGTGTCTTGTTTGTATGTGTAGATGACCTAACATATAAGCATGTTTTTCTACCATTTTGTAACTTGATCTAAGCATGTTTTTGCTATTATTTTGGCATGATTTAGCTCTGTTTTGGGCTGCTTTGATCATATGAGCTTTGTCTTGTATAGCTATAGTGCAAATGCCTTCACTAGCTTTGTGTTTTAAGGTCTCTAACATGTTGTGCATGTGTTGATTGCATGATATAGCATCATTTTATACATGATTTCAGTGCATAGAAACCATGACTGCGGTCACAAACTTGTCGCACCGGCTGCAGAGTAGGACAAATGAGGTGCAGCAGTTAAACGCCCAACTGGCTCTGCTCCAGCGCATGTATAAGGATGCGCGAGCAGAGATAAGTGTGCTAAAGGCGGAAAATAAGGAACTGAAGCGGAAGGCCACCGTTATGTTCTGATTTGGAGGGCCGCCATATGCTGTAGTGGAGGAGCAGGGTGGAGTGATCGTGCCCAGTGGAGTGGGTGCGGGAAACACAGAGGCAACACCGGCAAGGGCAGCCCAGGACAGAGGCAAGAAGAAGCGACCCGCAGCAGAGTAGAGAAGCAAAATCCCGCCTGTGGATGTGGTTGTTTTGTTTTTGTTTGTTTGTTTGTTTTTTTTTTTTTTTTTTTTTTAAGTGCTGATTGGGGTTGATCCCCGGCATGAAGAAATGACAAGTTTGTGGAATGGTTGTGGTGTTATTTTGGGTTGTTGTTTTGTTGAATAATAAAAATAACATAAAATAAAAAATAGATAAAAAAAATATTTTTGGATGGGTTATTTGAGAAAGATCGGTGTGAGGTGGATGACGAAGGGAACATGGATGTTTCAAAATAAAGTTGGGGATAGGACCCTGCAAAAGATATATTATTATAGAGTGGGTATTTGAAAGAGATTAAAAGTGGTTTGAAGAAAATAAATAAAAAGAATTGATTTTGAAAACGGAGGAGAGAGAAATGGGGTAGGCAACACAGGTCTTTGAAGTTTAGTATTCTGCTCCACAGCTCCTCCGGCAGAACGGACATCCACATTTTTCTATCCGATAATTGATGATGAGTCTGTGACGGACATCCACATTTTTTCTATCCGATAATTGATATGAGTCTGTGCGTGCAGCTCTCTCTCTCTCTCTCTCCTCTCTCTCGCTCAAAACACAGATCAGAAACCCAGAATTTGGTCAGTTGAACGCGGACTGACCACCCTTTCTTTGGTTCTGGTTGGAACCCACTTGTTTCACTAAGCCACTGTACGACGAAGCCGAAAGGGTTGAAGAACGAGGCTCCGCCGCCGGAAACGGCACTGGCGAAGGAAGAAGCTGGCGGCACGGTGTCGGAGACAAAGGAGGCAACTTTTCTTGGCAAAGTAAGAGCAGATGGGTAGCTTGGAGGACGAAAGAACAACAATAGGATGGGCTGCAACAGAACCTTCTGGGGTACTCTCTCCTTATACTTACACTCTCAGGAACACTGGTCCGGAAGATGTTTTCATCAAGGTGATTTGTTGTGGAATCTGCCATTCTGATATTCAGCAGATCAAGAATGATCTTGGCATGTCCAATTACCCCATGGTTCCAGGGCATGAAGTGGTTGGTGAAGTAATAGAGGTGGGATCCAATGTGAGCAAGTGCAAGATAGGAGACACAGTGGGAGTTGGATGCATCGTTGGATGCTGCAGAAACTGTAGTCCTGGCAAATCAGACAAAGAGCAATACTGCAACAAGAAGATCTGGTCCTACAATGATATCTACACAGATGGTAAACCCACCCAAGGTGGCTTTGCTGGCTCCATGGTCACTGATCAAAAGTTTGGGGTGCACATTCCAGAAGGGATGGCAGTAGAACAGGCGGCGCCACTACTATGCGCCGGGGTGACAGTGTACAGCCCAATGGTGCACTTTGGGCTGAAAGAGAGTGGGCTGAGAGGAGGCATATTGGGCCTGGGTGGGGTGGGACACATGGGGGTGAAGATAGCAAAGGCTATGGGACATCACGTGACAGTGATAAGCTCATCTGATAGGAAGAGAGAGGAGGCTCTGGAACCCCCCCCCCCCCCGCCGGTGAAGCGAAAATACTAGGTTCTCAACCTTGCTCTGATACCATGTTAAAATTGATGTATTATTGATTATTGTATATTATTTATTACAAATGGTGAGGGGCTCCTTATATAGGAGATGTAGTGGAGTAGGTGGAGTAGGTGGTAGTGGTAGGTGTGTAGTAGGTGGTAGTAGGTGATGGTAGGTGTAGTAGGTGGAGTAGGTGATGGTAGGTTTTAACAATCTTTGTTGGACCTTATTGCGAAAAATTGCAAAATCAACCTCCACCATGCTCTTTTTCTCTATCATTTCTTAGCATTCTAGTTGTGTCCTTCTGGTTTTTCAGAGGGAAATGAAGGACTCTGTACCAACAGATTTTCCTGTAGATAGAAGCAGGCCAATGTATTCAAACAAAATGTTTATCACTAGATATTTGTAGTCTCGTTAAACTGAATGTTTAGGCCTTGTTTGGTAATCATTTTGTTTTCAGTTTTCAGTTTATATTTACAAAAATTTTAAAAATATTGTAAAAACTTGTTTGATAAATTTTTTGGTTTATGAATAATTGGTCTCAGTTTGTAAATTTGATAAAAAATTGTAAACTCAAAAAATGAGTTTACGTTGGTTTTTAAACTCAAAAAACGTAGAGCTACAGTAAATCAAACCATACTCTCTCTCTTCCCTCTCTCCACAGCTCTTCTCTCCCTCCCTTTCTCACCACCACTTCCCCTCACCCTCCGCCACTCTACCGCCACGTCCCCTCTCTCTCTCTCTCTTCTTTCTCCTCTCTACCTCCATTAACGCTGACACCACCACAACTCTAATGCCACCGTCGACTGCGTCTTCTCCATCGACTACACTGTCATCGGGTCGCTCTCTTCTCCTACGCCCCTCTCTCTCTCTCTCTCTATTCTAAACACCCACCGCACCACCTCTCTCTCTTCAGATCCGGACTCTACCGCCTCAAATTTGGACTCCGCCATCACTTCAGATCTCTCATCCTCCATGCTCGATTCCACCACGGACGAATGATGGATCTTAGAGCTCCGAAAGCCACAGCTCTAGATCCATCACCATAGTTCCAAATCCATCACCGTAGCTCCAGATTCGTTGCTCTTCTAAGGCTTTGATGGCGTCAGAGTCTGATCGGGAAGAGACGAGGATGCGAAAGACAAAGGACAAGGCAGTCCGCGGCAGAACCGAGCATGACTGGTCCGGTTCAACAAAGAAATGACTTCTTTAAACTTAGAAAGAGTGAAATCGATTGCGTTTGTGTTGCTATTGTTGGTGTTTTGATCTTGCATTAGATCTCTGATGTATGTATATTGTTGATTTTTTGATCTCTGATGTATGATCCCATTGTCATAAATAATAAAAAATAAATATAAATATTGTAGGCCTTAGCAAATATGTTTTGTAGTTTATGCTTTTAAAATTTTTCAAATATTTTGTTCAAATCAAATGCGTTTGTAATTTATGTTTTTCTAAAAATAAACAAAAATCAGTATACAAAATTTTTGTAAACATAAACAAAAAACGTAAACATTACCAAACGCCATAATCTAACCCATCAACATGCCCAAACCAGCTTTGTTAAGATGTATAACCACTTTAAAAGGGTTCCCAATTATAAATAAATATGTTCAAGTTGACTCTACTTGCCGATGATGAGTAAAAAGCCCCTTAAATTAAAGGTGCAATGTTTCCAATGTTTTTCTTCACTTTTAAAATTTTAATATAAATATGATTATGACTTAATGAGTCATACGACTACGTGATAATTGTAACAACTAACAATTAATTCATAATGTACAATGAAACATTCTTCTTAACTTATTTCCTTCTTTCATACGGACAGAAGCAGTTATAGTTAATTTAATGGTCATTCAGGCTCATCAGTGATTAATGATACTTTAAATTAATCAAGTTCTGAGTCTGAGTCTTCACTGTATGATTCAGAATGGGTTGAGCTGTGTTAAGACATCTGGTTGGGTTTGCATTGTATTATTTAGCTTTGGATTGATATTGAGTACTGAAGGTTGCAGCCATTTTGTCTTAGGGCTGTGGCCCTTGTTCTTCTTCTCTATTTTCTTTCCCCTATTGTGTACTACATCAGCACTTCACCCCTCCTTTTAAAAATAGCCAAAGAATCCTCATGTGATTTTGACCATGTTGCATTTTACCTCCCTACCATCACTAATCCCATCCAAATTAACAAAAATTACGCCACACAACAAATTTGAGAGTTATATAACAAATTTAAGTCTTAGTCAAAATATACAATATAAAAGGATAAATATGCCCTTATGTTCATCTTCTTCCCCAAACCAATATGAAAACCCTAACCGTAACCCCAACTCTAACCCTCCCTCCTCCATGTATCCACCTCACAGCCACCTTCTGCCACTCCCTCTTCCCTCCTCCACCACCTCCCCACCACTCACAGCCACCTGCCGTGTCCCCCTATCCTCCTCCATGACCCTCGCCACCCCCAACCCACTCCCAACCTAAAGACTAATAAAATTCCAAAAACCAGAAAAATATAAATGAGTTCCAGCATTCTAGCATTCAATCATTAGAAATACATATCGCTTTGTGACAACATCTCCTTCAAGGCATTGGAAAAAAATGTAAAATCATTTAAATGTTTAGCAGCACACTATTAAGACTTTCATTTTTTCCTTTTTGCTTCTTTCACTGTGTTGTTTAGAAAAGGCAGGAAGGTCTTCTCACCCATTAATTCTCGCAGCACTTCTGGTATATCAACACCATCTTCACTCTGGTAATTCTCAAGGATGCAGCACAAAGTCCATTTGTATACGTATACATGCATTCTATGTTGTTTATGTATTTTGTGTGTGTATATATATAGATGTGGAATGTTACAATGTGCAGCCCTAACAAGGTGCACATCGTAAGAGAAGTTACAAATGTTGGTGGTGTGTTATGCCACTTAGTGGTAAAAGATACGAATGACAAAATTATGATATGCAACCTAAAGTTACAAATGACAAAGTTAAGCCACTTTGTGGTAAAAGTTATACCTTTTTTTGATGAGCAAAAATTTGATACTTTTAATGATGAGAAAAGTTATGCCATTTTGTGGTAAAAGTTACAAATTATTGTACTAAGGCACCATTTTAAGATTGCACATGGTAGCCTTCCCCTATATATAAACCAAACCAAGCCTTAAGTCCCATCAAATGGGGTCAGCTACATGAATCCTTCTTCTCCATTTGACTCTATCAAAGGCTATTTCGTTAGTCAAATTAATTTCCTTTTTGCTTCTTTCACTGTGTTGTTTAGAAAAGGCAGGAAGGTCTTCTCACCCATTAATTCTCGCAGCACTTCTGGTATATCAACACCATCTTCACTCTGGTAATTCTCAAGGATGCAGCACAAAGTCCATTTGTATACGTATACATGCATTCTATGTTGTTTATGTATTTTGTGTGTGTATATATATAGATGTGGAATGTTACAATGTGCAGCCCTAACAAGGTGCACATCGTAAGAAAAGTTACAAATGTTTGTGGTGTGTTATGCCACTTAGTGGTAAAAGATACGAATGACAAAATTATGATATGCAACCTAAAGTTACAAATGACAAAGTTAAGCCACTTTGTGGTAAAAGTTACACCTTTTTTTGATGAGCAAAAATTTGATACTTTTAATGATGAGAAAAGTTATGCCATTTTGTGGTAAAAGTTACAAATTATTGTAGTAAGGCACCATTTTAAGATTGCACATGGTAGCCTTCCCCTATATATAAACCAAACCAAGCCTTAAGTCCCATCAAATGGGGTCAGCTACATGAATCCTTCTTCTCCATTTGACTCTATCAAAGGCTATTTCGTTAGTCAAATTAAGGAGGTTCATATCTCTATTTATTACACTAACCCACGTCAATCTAGATATGCTCCTTCCCCTAACACTTTCATTTACTGTCACTATATCGTATCTCTTCATTACTACCTCTGTTGGTCTCCGTTGTATATGACTAAACAATCTCAATATATTTTCTCTCAACTTATCTTCTATCGGTACTACACCTACCCATTCTCAAATATACTCATGAATCATTGTAATATATATGAATATATATCAATCAATAATACATCTATTTCTTACATATCTCTATTTATTACACTAACCCACGTCAATCTAGATATGCTCCTTCCCCTAACACTTTCATTTACTGTCACTGTATCGTATCTCTTCATTACTACCTCTGTTGGTCTCCGTTGTATATGACTAAACAATCTCAATATATTTTCTCTCAACTTATCTTCTATCGGTACTACACCTACCCATTCTCAAATATACTCAACCTAACTCTATCTTTTCTAGTCTTGCCACACATCCACCTTAGCATCCTCATCTATATATTGTTTCTTAGTTGCCTAATATTCCGATCCATACAACATCGCTGGTCTAATAGCCATTCTATAGAACTTCCCTCTTAGTCTAGTGGGTACTCCCTTATCGCACAATACCCCAGAGGCACTCCACCACTTAAGCCAACCCGCCTTAATTCTGTGGACCACATCTATTCCAATCTCCCCAACCATTGTGATAATCAATCCTAAATAATGAAAATGTTCTCTCTTAGGTAGTTCTTGATTCTCAATCTTCACTTCTCCTTTATTTCTATTATTACTGTTACTAAAATTACACTCTATGTATTCTGTCTTAGCTCTGCTTATCCTAAATCCTTTAGATTCAAGTGCTTCTCTCAAAGTCTCCAACTTAGTATTAACTCATTCTCTAGTCTCATCTACTAACACGATATTATCTGCAAAAAGCATACACAATGGCCCATCATCCTTAATATTTCTCGTCAACTCATCCATAACTAAAGCAAAAACGTAAAGACTTATGGTTGATCCTTGGTATAATCCTACAATAATTGGAAATTCACTTGTCTATCCAGCAGGCGATTTAATAGTGGTCACCACACCTTCATACATATCCCTAATCATATCATTGTAACCTTTTGTCACCTCTTTCTTCTCTAACACCCACCAGATTATATCGCGACACACTTTATCATATGCTTTCACAAGATTGATAAAAACCATATGAATGTATCTTTTCTTTTCTTTATACCTTTTTATTACTCTCCTCAAAAGATAGATTACTTCCATTGTTGACCTATCAGGTATAAATCCAAATTGGTTCTCTAACGCTTCTGTTATATCTCGCAATTGACGTTCTATCACTCTCTCCCATACTCTCTCCCCTATATACATATATATATTAAATTTATATATTTTGGTCTATAGATGTGTATTGTGAGTGGCTGAAGAATGAATATGTTAGTGGAGGTGATTGCACTTTCAGCAAACACAGAAAGAGGAAGACCATTATAGTAAGAGGGTAAAGAAGTCTTTTTACATTTTCCGTTAACAGAGTTAATTGTGCACTTTAGTCCAAAATCACATGAGGGGTCTTTGGCTATATTTAAAGAGAGGGGTGAAGTGTTGCCATGCCAAGGGGGTAAAATGGATTTTGCCAAATACATAAACCAATCATTCCTGTTACATTATTGAGCTATTTTTGTCTTCTAGTTAGAATATCATGTGTGTGTGACAATGAAAATCAGTAATTAATTGGCATGTATTCGTTAAGTCTATAAGTAATGAAGTAACTGCAGAAAAATAAATACAGTTGGTTTTAAAATAATTCAGTTTATTCAAGACCATGATGCTAAATCAAACCAAAGTGATGCTGCGGCCCTTGACTGGTTGAAGTCCAATTATCAAATTTGGAAGCCTAGGGTAAAGCCCATAGGCCTGAAGACTTTTTGGTTCCTTAAGTGCAATTGGTAGTTTATTATTATTATTGTTCAGTTAGATTTAATTAAATAAAATTAAGAGATAATGATTGCTTAGGTTTCCTGGTGTAGTTAGGTTTCTTGTTTTGCTTATATATTAGAGTTTTGCATTGTAATATTCAGTTTTGGAATAATATTGTTGAGAGTTCAGGTTGTGGCCGTTTGTGTGTTTCTTCCCCTCTCTTCTCTCTATGTTGTCCTACATCACAAAGTCAATCAATTTAGCTATGTTTTTAAACCAAAACCAAGCCAAAATAACACACCAAACCAAGAAATAATGATTGAGTTGGTTAAGTTCTCGGGTTGCATTAAACCAAATTTCCTTGTTGGAGTAAACATTCCCAAAACATCTTCAACGATGCTTTTATTTATCTATTTATTAATGTTAACAGTGAAACAAATGAAGCTTTATTAGCTTGGGAATCCCAAGCTTGCAAAATAGCATTGAAACTAATTCTCTCCAAACTCAAACCATAGGCCACAACTAAAACACTTACTCTTCACAACAGCAAAGTCAAATAGATATAAAATGTACATAAAAGTACTCACCTGTACAACATGTGGCGCCAAACTGCGGAATGAATTTTCAATCCCGTAATAAACTGCAGAAAGTATAGTACATAAGAGATACTGACATTCAGCCTCACATGCAAACCAACTAGGAAACGTCACGGACAAACAAATTTACCTGTTAAAATATAGACAACTTTTAGTTCCTTCACTCGACCAGCAAGAACCAACGCAATGGCTACTGTTCCATATATGCAAAGGAGGAAATGCCTGCAGAACAACTTAAATATTGATAGGACCAAAGATTGAAGTAGATGCAGCATTCATGCTGGAAGACTCCAGGTTGAGACTGATTCATTGCCATAAAGCAAATACAACAATGCACAATCACAATGTTGGATTTTAGTCTCCACTGCAATGGGAATACTACTAATGAGACACCTACAATTGACCAAAATCTAATGTAGATATAGAAGATTAAAAAACTAACATGTCTGCACTTACATATATAAACACAAGTAATTATGTAGGTGTTGGCCTCCTCATTCCAGGAAGTTAGTCCCCTATGACACTATACTATTACACATTTTTCCTCCACACTCCTATAAACTTCCACAAAATATTCCCACAAATGGAAACTACATGACAGAGAGCCCTGGTTGTAACCTTTAAGTCAAAACTAAACATAGATAGCATGTGATCTAACACATGTATTAATTTGTTTCACACACATTAAGTTTCACTTTTTCATTAGATATGAAGTAGTTGCATGTGTTAGTATAAAATGATGCGACCCTGAACATAGTGTATTTTGAAGCATAAGCATAAAAGAACATAGTCAAAAACAAGGTCACTAGAAACCTATTTTACTTGGTTATAATATGAAATGCGGTTAAATCTCAACTCACCAAAGAAGAAAAGCCATGAAGTATCGAGTGTTCCTCTCCCCTATGCAATTATTCTGCAGCAATGACACATAAGAAAGAGAACTATAATGAGAAATGGGGCGTACTGATATTTGATAATTCAGACCACCAAAAACATCCAAATTTTTTACGAATGGGAAAAAAAAGGAATAAAGAATAAGATAAAATCAAACCATCCATCCACAATGATGGTCAAACCGAGCGACACAGCGATCGCAAATGCTGCAGTGCTTGGACCTAGCAGGTCTATATCAGTGGAAAGAACCCTATTAGCAAAATAATGAAAGAGCACATTTAAGAGAACTACAAACAAAACAATGAACTCACTTCAGAATCTTGCATGTTGAACATTCTTTCTCCAAATAAATTGCATTGTCATACGGATAAGCAGAGAGATATTGAGAAACATTCTCTGCATTCACAGTTCCTGGATCAGAATAGCTAGTCAAAAGAAAGAGTAGAATACCCACACCAACTGCCAACAAGCTTGTGAGCCTGCAAGAACATACAGGGTCCAAGAAAAAATTGGAAGTTATGTGAACTTATGTAGACAGAAACCTAATGAATATTGAGAGAGTAAACATTAACATTTCTTAGTATGATACCTGTGAACTTCACTTAGATAATATCCAGGTATATAGCTGAAAACTGACTTTACAATAAAGTAATAAGTAGCTCCAATTATTGCCAAATATATGATCTGCCACAAAAGAAAACTAACTTGAATCCTCAATCAAATGCCCACCTTCCTTTTTTCTTCTTCTTTTATTATTTTATTATTTTCTAAGAAAGCAACTTTGCATGGTTTTTAGCATGAAAAACAAAAAAAATTATACTTTCTGCATTGCAGCTCTTTCCATATTTGATCATCCCAAAACAAATGTCCATGTAAGATTTTTGAATGCTTTTCTGTATATTCAATTGTGTATGTAATACAAGAATACAATGGTTTATATAACAATCTAACCCTAGAACGAAAAAATAAACACGAATTATTCACTCAATCCCTAATATATACAAAATATATACACTAGCATATATACATAAAATCTAATATTCTTACACCCCCGCTCAAACTCAAGGTGTTTTAGCAGAAAACACTGAAAGTTTGCCAAGAAGAAACTAAAACCGAGCAATGGTGTGAGTTTTGGTGAAGAAGTCAGTAAGTTGCAGAGTCGAAGAGATAAAAGGAAGTAAAATAGAGCCAAACTGCAGATATTGACGGACAAAGTGACAATCAATCTTAATATGCTTTGTCCGCAAATGGAAGACAGTGTTATGGGCAATCTAAATAGCAATGCAGTTGTCGCAATAGAGAGAGGTCAGAGAAGACTGTGGTACACAACGAAACCAAACAATCTCAGTAGTAGCATGAGCCATAGCACGATACTCAGCTTCGGTAGTAGAGCGAGCAACAACAGTTTGTTTCTTGCTTTTCCAAGAGACCAATGAATTGCCAACAAACATACAGAAATCAGACGTAGAGTTGCGATCAGTGGCATCACCAACCCAATCAGGATCAACATAAGCCACCAAGTCCAAAGAAAAAGTAGAAGACAATAGTAAGCCTTGAAATATAATACCCCAAAGATAGCGAAGAATCAGAACCAAAGTAGCCCAATGTGTAGAACAAGGAGCAGAAACAAATTGGCTAACCACATAAACAACATAGGCAAGATCAGGACGAGTAACCGTCAGATAGATTAAGCAATCCACAAGCTCTCGATATAAAGTAGGATCATCCAGAGGAATACCATCAGTAGTGTTGAGTTCAATGGGAGTATTAGAAATTTTAGTGTCAGTAAGACCAGCCCGGTGAATAATCTCATTGGCATACTTGGCCTGAGACAAAAAGTAACCCTTGGGACAAGAAGCGACCTCAATACCAAGAAAATATCTCAATGGGCCAAGATCCTTCATTTCAAAGGTGCGAAAGAGATGTTGCTTGACCTCAAATATAGCAGAGCAATCAAAGCCAGTGATGATCATATCATCTACATACAGTAATAAGGCAACAAAACTAGTAGATGTGTGAAGGAGAAACAAAGCGGAGTCATGGGCACAAGGATGAAACCCAAACTCAGTAAACGATCATACCAAGCACAAGGAGATTGTTTCAAATCATACAGAGCACGCCGAATATAACAAACTTGTCCAGAAGAATGAGGAAGGCCAGGTGAAGGACGCATATATACCTTCTCAGTGAGATGGCAATTAAGAAAAGCATTCTTAACATCCATCTGATAAAGAGGCCAATGACGAACAGCAGCGACAGAGATCAAAGTAAGGACAGTAGTCATTTTGGTTTATATAACAATCTAACCCTAGAATGAAAAAGGAAACACGAATTATTCACTCAATCCCTAATATATACAAAATATATGTACTGCTATATATACATAAAATCTAATATTCTCACAGTCCATTGTCAAAAAATCAAATCACTTAGTTTTCTACTTTTTCATATCACCCCTTCAAAATAAACTAAATGTTAACAAAAACAATGTTAGTGAAAGCATGAGACAAACTTAAGCGCAAAGGCCTCTTGGATCCTAGGCGCAAAGCGTAACCGTGCGCCTACTAAAGTAACCCAGACATTTTTCAAAAATAATGTATAATGAAAAGGGATTCATTATATATAAAAAATTAATATGTATATATATATTTTCACTCTCTATCTCTGCTCATAACTTCTAGTTAGAATTGCTAAAAAGATTGAAAAGTTGATGAGGAATTTCCTTTGGGAGGGGCGGGAAGAGGGGGAGAAGGATCATTTGGCGAATTAGAAAGTTGTTTCACTTCTGAGAAGGAAAGAGGGTCTCACTATTGATAACATTGTGGATAGAAACATTGTTCTTCTAGGAAAATGGTTATGGAGATTTCTTATTGATTGTTATTCATTATGGCATTCCATTATTAGAAGCAATGGGGCTCAAAGTAATGGTTGTCAATATCTTATAATTTTAGGGGGTAATTGTCGATCCCCAAGGAAATCCATTTCTCGCATCCTTCCTCTCATTTCTAGGTTTCTTTTTTCAAAGTAGGGAATGGGGTAAATGTCTGATTATGGGAGGATGTTTGGGTGGGTGAGGCCTCTTTTGACAATCTTTCCCAAGGTTTTATAGAGCAATTCATCCTCAAAATGTTTCCATTGCTTCTTTAGCATGCTCTAATTTGGCACCAATTTTATGAAATTTCAATTTCATTAGGAATCTTAATGATTGGGAAGCACTTGAATTAGCATCCTTGCAATCAATGGTTCAGGGTTTTTCATTGTCTCCTTTGGCTTGGGATAGAAGGGTTTCACTCTCCATTCTTCTGGTATCTTTTCATGTAAATCCTTCTTTGATAGGATCACTGATAAACCCACATCTACTTATGTTGCATTCCACGCAAAGATTTGGAAAGCTGTAGTGCCTTCAAAAGTGAAGATTTTTACGTGGTCTTTGGCTCGTTAGGACATTATGATCAATGATACCTTTCAAAAGAGAATACCTAATCATGGTCTTTGTCCTTTGTGGTGCATTATGTGTAGGAGGAACAAGGTATCGGTGAATCATCTTTTCTTGCATTGCCCCGTGGCTTTGAAACTATGGCACCAGCTTTTTTCACTAGACTGGCTCATGTTGGGTTGCTTTAGGCAATTGTGCTAAAATGCTCTAAATTGATTTTTGGGGCTTTGGTGGCAATAAGAAAGAAAAAGCATTGTGCTTTTGTGTTGTGTTTGCTGTCTTTTGGGTTATTTGGTTAGAAAGAAATGCAATAATTTTTTATGACAAGGTCACAAACTTGCATTCTTTATAGGAGAGGGTGTGCCATTTGGCGTCGTTTTGGGCTTATGTTTCTCCTGTATTTAAGGGGGTTTCACTTTTTCTAATTTCCAAAGATTGGAGCATTTTTACTTTGTTTTCCGCTATGTTTGATTATGGTTTTTCTTCGTATTTTCGAGTTAGAGGACTCCTTGTTCTCTCCTTATACCTTTTGTTTTTTATTAATAACTTTCTTTTGTTGCTGATCAAAAAAATAAAAATAAATACTATCAAGATCTAAAGGTTAAGATAATGGAAAGGGATTCATTATATATAAAAAAATTAATATGTATATATATATATATTTTTACTCTCTATCTCTGTTCATAACTTCTAGTTAGAATTGCTAAAAAGATTGAAAAGTTGATGAGGAATTTCCTTTGGGAGGGGCGGGAAGAGGGGAAGAAGGATCATTTGGCGAATTAGAAAGTTATTTCACTTCTGAGAAGGAAAGAGGATCTCACTATTGATAACATTGTGGATAGAAACGTTGTTCTTCTAGGAAAATGGTTATGGAGATTTCTTATTGATTGTTATTCATAATGGCATTCCATTATTAGAAGCAAATATGGGGCTCAAAGTAATGGTTGGCAATATCTTATAATTTTAGGGGGTAATTGTTGATCCCCAAGGAAATCCATTTCTCGCATCCTTCCTCTCATTTCTAGGTTTCTTTTTTTCAAAGTAGGGAATGGGGTAAATGTCTGATTATGGGAGGATATTTGGGTGGGTGAGGCCTCTTTTGACAATCTTTCCGAAGGTTTTATAGAGCAATTCATCCTCAAAATGTTTCCATTGCTTCTTTAGCATGCTCTAATTTGGCACCAATTTTATGGAATTTCAATTTCATTAGGAATCTTAATGATCAGGAAGCACTTGAATTAGCATCCTTGCAATCAATGGTTCAGGGTTTTTCATTGTCTACTTTGGCTTGGGATAGAAGGGTTTCACTCTCCATTCTTCTGGTATCTTTTCATGTAAATCCTTCTTTGATAGGATCATTGATAAACCCACATCTACTTATGTTACATTCCACGCAAAGATTTGGAAAGCTGTAGTGCCTTCAAAAGTGAAGATTTTTATGTGGTCTTTGGCTCGTTAGGACATTATGATCAATGATACCTTTCAAAAGAGAATACCTAATCATGGTCTTTGTCCTTTGTGGTGCATTATGTGTAGGAGGAACAAGGTATCGGTGAATCATCTTTTCTTGCATTGCCCCGTGGCTTTGAAACTATGGCACCAGCTTTTTTCACTAGACTGGCTCATGTTGGGTTGCTTTAGGCAATTGTGCTAAAATGCTCTAAATTGATTTTTGGGGCTTTGGTGGCAATAAGAAAGAAAAAGCATTGTGCTTTTGTGTTGTGTTTGCTGTCTTTTGGGTTATTTAGTTGGAAAGAAATGCAAGAATTTTTTATGACAAGGTCACAAACTTGCATTCTTTATAGGAGAGGGTGTGCCATTTGGCGTCGTTTTGGGCTTATGTTTCTCCTGTATTTAAGGGGGTTTCACTTTTTCTAATTTCCAAAGATTGGAGCATTTTTACTTTGTTTTCCGCTATGTTTGATTATGGTTTTTCTTCGTATTTTCGAGTTAGAGGACTCCTTGTTCTCTCCTTATACCTTTTGTTTTTTATTAATAACTTTCTTTTGTTGCTGATCAAAAAAATAAAAATAAATACTATCAAGATCTAAAGGTTAAATCTATAAAAAAAAATTTAAACAAAAACAAAATGTGCAAAACTATCCTTTAATGTTATTTTTTTAAAAATGTACGTTAAGCGTGCTTTTATAATGAAAATAATTTTTGATAAGAACATGGACCAAAATTTTGTTTCGATGTGTTGTTTTTATCGACATAGAAACAAAAATGTTTTGGAAACATTTTAGAA